TGTGAATATGACTGAAAAAATTCATTTTTTCTGAAAAGGTGGTGTCTATTTACTTGTGACCACGCTGTGTATGAATACTGGAACAAACTCACTTAGTAAAGACTGTGGTAAAACGAGAACTGACAAATTACTTTGCGTCATTAAAAATGTTACAAAATAACTGTGATCGTATTACTTATAAATCTCAACACCAAGCATTTTTCCACCTATAAGTCAATAAAATCCTTGAATAATGAAAAAAACATATCAGTTTTACGACAATAAATAACCTTTTTCTTTACTTGAAACGACGATGAGTAGTAACTTTCATGTAAGAGCAAGTATGACATCTGTTTGTTTAACGATTGGAAGACAACAAAGCATTTTTAAAACAACATTTTGGGTGTATTAATGAAGCATGAGTTCAAAGTACTTTTACAGTCTTATCAGCATATCTTATTATTTTCTGTTTTGATACTGCAGTCTGAAAAATGAGTGTTTCACTGCGTCCTATTCAGAAACATTTTATGTTACAAAAGAAGAGGATGACCTTTCAATGGACCCCCCCCCACCACACACACACATACACACATACACGCATTTGTAGAGCATTCCACTTATTTTAATATTAAAAATACTTACCATGAGTTGTTTTAGATGATTTATTAGACACTGTAAATGCAAAGATGTAGATAAATCATAGTTAGCCTGACATACAATGAGTAGACCTCCTGTGGCTCAAAGATAATGAAATCTTATAACTCTAAAAATTGGGTTTCGATACCCGTGGTGTGCACAGCACAGATAGCCCATTGTAGAGCCTGTGATATATGTAGGGCGAGAAATTTCAAAATTTATCAATAATGTTTAAGATTAGCTTTTATTTGTCATTAAGCCTACTTAAAATGAACGATGAAATCTCATGGACATGTCGTACTTTAAAATATTCTTATAACGTTTAAGAAGAATATGCCCATGGATTCTTACTTTATGGTAATTAAAATGTTTGATTAAGATTCTGACATTACACAAGTCTTGAGCCAGAAGGATTGAAATATTATACCTTGATAGTGTTTTAAAAACAAGGCCTATTTTCATGTGCAGTACAAGTTCTTTGTAAGGATGGAAAGCAAGGTTTATACTATAGTATTTAAACTGGAAAATAATTTTTTTTCCATATTATAAAAAGAAGTAAACTCTCTTTTTTTTGTTCCTATATCAAATCTACTAGTATGTGTAGTTGAATGAAAATTATTTCATTCCTTATACGCCCATGTACATTAGCAAAGACTTGAGAAATGGGCTTCTAACTAAACAACAACATAATCAATGCAACCAACTGCCATGTAGCATCGGTAATATTATTCAATAGTCTGTGTTTCGAAATTCTGGTAGAAATTAATGACATAGCAAGCTCAACATCAACAACTGTTGCTATTCGTTATGAAAACTTCGTATTAATGTAATTCCTGTAGTTTTTGTATACCTTTTGCACGTATGTCTGTAACAAGACTGAAAGCATTATGTATGTCATTGACCATTTCTGCGCATTTTCATAGTTATACCACGAACAGAAGCAAGTGTTAGTGTTACACAAACCCACATGTAGCAGATAATAAAACCAAATTATTCTAAAGCTCTGAACAACTCTCCAGCTTTAATTTTAGTGGTTGTGTCCCATTCACTATGATTACGCAGGAGATATAAACAGCGAAATACTTGTATATTCGACGGAACCAGAATATTTCTCAAACCTCTGATAACAACTCCAGCTTCTCTTGAGAAACTGCAAAGAAAACTTCCTCAATTGGTAATATCGAAAGAGAAAAGAACGTACGTCAGCTTTTAAATTGTTTAACAAACATCGTATGTGATAGAGGGCGTTCAGTGAATGTAAATTCCAAGAACTTGTAAAAAAAAGGATGTACAAGAATATGTCAACCATACTATATCTGCTATATCCAGTACCGATAAGGCCTTTTCTCCTAATACCAGGGCTTATGAGACATCCTTTATAATAATAATTTATTTTTATTAGCGATGCTTCCTTCTACACATCTTCCTCTTTACTCACCATCTTTATGTTTTTGAAATTTAGATTATGTTAACCTTTCTTACGTGTTTATTTACGTGTGATGGTCCTTGTAAATGTTCATTAAATCTGCTTTTTCGATTTCTACTAGTTTCACCCAGATATATATGTATAGTTTGTTTATTTTAGCGCAAAATCACATTGGGCTAGTTGCTGTGTCCACCGTAGGGAATCGAACCCCGGATTTTAGCATTGCAAATCCGTAAATTTACCGCTGTCCAATAAGAGAACGATAAAGAGAGAAAGAGTCATAATTTTCACAGTTAATTTGATAGATAAATCCACGTGTAGTATTTATTACTGTAAGTTTGCTGTATTATTATTTTTTTTTAGTTCAGAGTTTTGTATTAATTCTGCTTCAATATCTATGTTATGCTTTTGCTAAGCTGATTTCCTCTCTTTTCTGTATTCTTTTTCTTTTCCAGCTTTTCCCTTTAGCAAGAGTTGCCTTCCTTCATACGTGTTGCCCTCCTCCAGTCAGCTTTATTCGTTGCCATGTCTTCTGCAGTTCCTTTTTTTCTCATATTTCCAACGCATTGCTGGCCTTCCTTGTCTTCTTTTCCCAGCTACTGGCAGCTCTGATACTCTCCTTATTCTTCTTCTCTTCACGTGACTGAACCACTTAAACCTTGCTTCCCTTGCCTTTCCCTCGATTCCACAGAAAGACTCCTGCCATTTCCTTAATTTCCCTATTCTTTCTCTCCTCTTTCAGTGACACTCGCAAAAGCTATTTCATTTCTGCTTCTTATCAACAAGTCTTTTTCTTTATTATTTTGGGGTTCAGGTCTTGGCTCCTTAAAAGAGCACCAGTTTAATCATGGTCTTATACACTTTGGCCCTCAGTGACCTTGGTAATCTTTTGTCACAGATGACTGTAGCTACTTTCTTCCATTTATTCCAACCCACCTGGATTCTATCTCTCACAGCTTTCTTGCTTCCTTCTTCACTTTGGATTGTACCTAAAGTCTTCTACTTGTTCCAGTAACTTCCTGTTTACATCTGTGAACTTGATCTCTCTCTCTCCTACGTATGGGATAAGTCCTATGATTTTTTTAAAATTTTCTTTTGTATTTTGTATGCTGTTGATAAACGCTATTTTTTGTTTTACTTCTTTTAGTGATTAATCAATGACTTTTTTCTGGAAAACTAAGCTATTTCATCTTCTGTTTCTTTGGGTGAACAAAGGCGGGCAGCAATGTTGTATAAGCTTATTAAAGTTTAAAACCAAACTGGAGAAGAAGCCGCACACAAAATAGATACAAGTTAGAAAACAATTTTAACAATAGAATGACGTTAATCTTGAAGGTGATTTATTCAAAAACGTTTCGAGCCTAAGCGCTTTGTCAGGTGATATTTAAACGCTCACTAGCGAAAGTACTAAAGAATGATATTTAAATAATAACAATAACGTATACGTGTACCTAACGCGTAACATGATATACGTGCTGTGATTGTCTAAAACACTGTTGCAGAAAAGGAAAAATATAATATATTAGAAGCAGCGTTGCCAAGTCTCGCGAGTAAAATAACTGTCACTGCCGTTGAAAATAAGCAACATTGACTTTCAAAACTGCTTTTTTTAGCTTACTCTCAAAATGACGATTTGTGCGGCTTAATTGGAATATAAAATGTGTCAAGTTGGCGGGTAAGAAAGCTCACAATTGTGGTGTGTTTTTTAAAATAATATGTAGGCGATTCATTAACCCAGTCAATCACTTAAACCACTCCTACAACTACTTTACTATATGTTGAAATCAGCTTTTGAAGAAAAGCCCAAATAGACAACATCAGAATAAAACAAGCCCCAAAAACCGCAACCCGCGACTGTCAAAAAATTAAAGCGACTTTTAGGAGACACAAGCCCAAATCTGCTTATTAAAAGTGGACTTGCCAACACTGGTTAGAAGTGCAAAGACAAAGACTAATTTAAAAATACATAAAAAATATTAAATAAAATTCTCAACTACAAATTAATAAAGAGTAAATGAAATTAAAGAGCTGGGTATATTATAGATAGAAAATAGATAAGAAGTTATTACAGAAATGAAAAACTTTCATTTAATCCAGGTGGAGAAAGGTTCCCTAAATTGTAAATTAGGTGCTGTTCTTCGAGTTCACGTAGACAGCGATCAATAGGTGCAAATCTCAGAACAGCTACTTTAGATGTGACAAATCATGTTCGACTTCGCAGAATTGTTTTTGAACTGGTAAAACAATATTTCGATTAATTATCCGTTTTTTGTGTTAACGAAAGCTATCGCAAATTTTGCGACCGATCTCACTACTGTAATGTAAGGTACAAAGATTGCAAATAACACTGTAAATGACAGATTCTGATACGCAGATAAAAAATGCTTATTTATTAATAAGAAAGTTACTCTTAGTTTTAGGACAAAAATTAAAGTTTCTTTGTTCATGTCCTGACATGTTACACAGAGTGGTCTGTTAAAAGAGAAGTGACCGGGTGAGCGGTATCAGGTTGAACATAGTTGGTTCGAACAAGTGTATCTCGAAGACAAATGTCGTGGATATATTTAATTACTGGTTTTGAAATCCACTTCTTATCTCTATGATTAAAATTAGTCTGCAGGATATTAAATTGTTCATGATTATTTTAATAATTTGGGGAAATATGGTTTAATGATATGGAATCGTTAAGGTAAGTTTCTGTAACTGTTAGTTATTTTTCGGAAAAGTGTGTGTGTGTGTGTGTACGAGGTATTATTAAGAGCTTTATGTAGGAAAAGGTTCGGGGTCTCCGCGACGCAAAAAAAAAAAAGTTGTTAAATCTTCTGATTTAGGAATTAAGTTATCGATATCACTGCGATACGTTGTAAACGTAAAACTAAGAATAGGGAATGGAACTTGGAGGGGGCGACAGGAGGCGAAAAGTAAGTAGAAATGCGAATTTATGAGATTATCATGCACAGAACTTGACAATTTTCCGTTGTCTGTGGTGATATCTATGTTAGGAAAAGATAGGTCGTTTATGGAAACAAGACAGTCAAAACTTTAAAAAGGATGATATTTTATAAAGGAGTCGATAAATAGAAGAATTTGGGAGAAAGGTGAAGCTATCTAATAGCTGAATAGTATGAGTGAAGTCTCTAATGTAATTAGTTAGTTTAACAATAGGAGAGAATATGTCATTCCCAAATTCCTAAACTCGATAATCCATGAAAACCAATTGTCTAAGAATGCTGTTGCCTAACAGAAGTTATCTCAAGTTTTTTCATTGACGTATACATTCTTATTGTATAAGTACTTATTTTGATGTACTTTCGTTGACGACTGTTTAAATATCACCTGATAAAATGCTTAGGCTCAAAGCGTTATTGAAAAAAACACCTTCTAGACAGACATATTTCTAGTGTTTCCATTTTTTTTCTGACTAAACATTTTAATGTGTCTATTTTTAGATTGATGTCATGTGCCGATTGACAGTTGATATATGTATCATTATGTACGTTCCTTCTATGTATTTTGATGTTAAACGTGTTGTGTAATCACGTATTATTTAAATTTGGGAAGTATATTGTTGACTTTTTGTTCTCCTCAATTTTGAATTTTGTGTTATGTCTGATAGATGTGTTTAAAGAAGTGTTTCTGTCATCTTGGTTACTAACATTACATAATACTTTAATGTATATGTCCAAAAAGTGCATGGGGAAATATGGCTGCTTGTACTGCTTTTGTTTCTAAGGAAATCATGAATAAGTTTACTAGAATAGGTGATATACGACTTCCCAGGCTAAATCCACTTGTGTAAAATTCTCCCAAGAATCCAAAACAATTGATTACTGTAAAATCTAACAAAGTTTTTAACTGTTCAACTTTTTTATGGTTTTCTATTGCTATGTTAATGGGTTCGGGAGTTGGCATTTGTGGAAACATTGAAATTACACCAAAGTTACAATGATTGTTATAAATGTTGTATTTTTGTAGTTTTCTCGTGACTTCCTAAGAATATGTTACTGTTATTTCTAATTTGTTTATCAAAATAGCCAACAGAGATATATGCCTATGCTATAACTGAATGATGCATATCTAGGGACATGTCAATCAATCATGGCCTCAGTTTAAACAACTTAAAATACTGTGTATATTCTATTCTCTTTCTTCTTGTTCCAACAAAGATGGCTTCGCTGAAGAAAAGAAATGTAACGTCTTGGTAGAGGATTTCCTTCCAGTTGTCCGAGAAATGATTGAGTTTTTCGGAAATCTTCACATAGTTTATCTATTCTGATTGTAAACTCCTTTCCCATCTTGAATGTAGTGAAGTTATATTGCAAAGTAGAATATGTTATCACAAAATTCGCTATTGTTTCAGGATGCATTCATCAAAGTTCCCCAGGAGTTTCTGTTGTCCATGCTTGAATAAAAGTAAGCAGTACTTTTGGAATGCACCACCGTGAAGTGATGGGCTGTACACAATGATACGAGAGTGATTCAGCGACTCAAGTCGGATTGACCCGAAATACTCTCTTCCTCTCAAATACAGCTACTAATATAAAATTATATCCGGGTTCAAAGAGAGTATTAATCATTCGGTACTTTTTGGCTACCACTCATTCATCTGACTGAATTTGTAAGTGGACGTCTGACTGGATATCTGAATGTAACTCTAGACTGGACTTATGAATTTATCTAGACACCGGACTGGATACTCAAGCCTGAAATAAGTAAAAAAATAAAAAAATAGTTACTTTGTAAACATGGTAACTAAACAACTCTGTTAAAGAGGTGTAGCATTTGTAAGATCATGCGTTTATAACAAGTTTCTAAATCCACCATTTCGTGACACATTTATCGTGGTATGGCCTGACCGCGAATTCAACGCTACCTGCACCATAGTATATAGTGTATGTATAATTGAGTTGCACTCAGTACAGTGGCCTACGTCTTTAACACTGTTATCTCAGCTAGAAGCATGCGCGTTCGGAAATAAAGTCACTCTCTAACAGTGGCATACGCCTTTAACACTGTTATTTCAGCTAGAAGCATGTGCGTTCGGAAATAAAGTCACTCTCTTCGTCTATGTCTCGTTTTGCGATCAAATTATTGTGAAGGTAATATAAAAAAGAGAGAGACAGAGACGTCTCCTTTGGAAGAATAAAAGAATCTAACAATACTCATGTCCAGACCGACTTGGTAGCTCTCTTCTGTTCTGGCATTGCAAACTTCGTGTAATGGTAATGCTGCATATTGGAAATGTAAAATACAGAATGAAAACTTTACGTACCAAAATCATAGCATTCATTTCGTTCTTATTTGATGTATCTATACCGGCAACGGTCCTCTTTCAGAAAGACAAAATGTATATAATTCACTTATTTTAAAAATTATAAGGACGTATTTTGACCGTATGACGAGGAAGCACATGCGTCAATTTGGAACAGCCAATAAAATGTTCGGATACGAGAAAAAGTATTTTCAAATTTATGTACAACAAAAATAATTAATCTACATATTTCATTGAAATGTTATGACTGTTTTCTCCACAAAATAATATAAGATAATATAAAGTGTTTAACAAGCCAAGTTAAGTAATTCAAAGACATCGCAAAATGTCAATTAGCTACATTTTAGTTATGTAGAACCTTCAAGTAATTAAACTTGTTTTTTCTTACAAAACATAACATGATTTCCAACTCAAACATGCATTTTTTAGCTAATTTGGATATAAAGAGGTGAAATACGTTTTGTTGTTTTTTTCTTTTCATTGATTTATGGCGTTTGAATTTTGTTTTTATTTTCTGAGTATTTCTTTTTCCTTGGTTCGCCATAGGACCGATCTGCGCCACATCTATCGTCTCCGTTGGCCGAACAAATTCTGTCAATAGCATGTGATAATGAAAGTCAGAACGCCAAACGAATGCGGTTAGGCCTAAAGCCTATTTCAGTTTCTCTGGTAAGTTAGTGCTGATTGTATTCAAATAGTTGGGAGTAATTCAAGTATGTTTAGTGACAATATTTTTATCACGCGAATAATAAAGATTAATTATTCTAAAACACAGAATTAAGGTTTCTTATATCTTAATTTATTTCACATTAAATTTTTCATCGAATTTACTAGAATAACTTATAAGTCTTGTAAACTCTGAGAAATTAAACTAAAGTCTAAAGCTGCATCTACATGTTTAATTTCCATCTCTATAATCTAGAATCTATCACTTGACCTTCTTGATAAAAGAGTTAGCACAAAGGACCACATATAAAGTGTAATAAACTTAAAATAAGACCCAAAACAAGATTAGAGATGCTAGTTTCAACTACAACAAGCAGAATCACGTTTTCTAAATTCAACATTTAATTCTTAGTTAGCTATAACTACAACAGTAGTGCAGTCATATTAAATACACTCATTAAGTTATTTGGTGCTTAACAATGACTTGCACGTTTTACGCACACACACATGTATATTGAGCACCTTGACATAAAGTTACCACTATCAAATTTCTAGTGAAAAACTAGGATATATCATTTTCCATACGAAGTGACACCGTAATAGCTCTGAAACAGTTTAAATCAAAATAGCATAATTTTTACCGTTAGGTATATAATCTGACGCTGGTCCGTACGAAGGGTTTTAATAACGGGGGTGCAATTTTCTCAGGGGAACCTATTATTTGCTGTAAACCCGAGGCCCCATAATTGCAATACAGAAATGAAAAGTATGCGTATTAAGGTAATTAAAATAATAAAAATATAAGGCGAAAATGGTGCTCAAAGAAATCAGATTATAGTGTTACTCATAATGTAGGTCACCAGAATTCTTTTTAAAGTGGCATGATGCAATTCGAGATCTCTAGCTCGGGACAAAAAAGATTAAATATCATACCAACTGACACTCACAAATAATGAAATGCTGAAAAATTACTATGTAATTGTATTGGTAGCTACGATTTTTATACAAAGCTTGTACTCTAGCAACACAGAAATCAGTTAATTATATCGATTTCGTGAGAATGACCCATAATATACAAAAATTAAATAGGTATGTAAACACACTAAGAATATTATATGTCTTCTATTATGTCTATCAGGGGCTCTTCTTGTCCATTTACCATCAAAGAGCTCTATTGTTTATTTACTAATTGAGGTGCCCCTCTTTTTTATTCACTATCACTTTTATCGATTTACTAATCAAGGAACCTTCTTATTGATTTACTGCCCTGAGCCCCTATAAAGGGGCTCTGTTTTCTGTATACTATTAGGGGCTCTTCTTATTAATTTACTGTCAAGGGGCCTCTTTGTAGATTTAATATCGTAAACCACTCCTTGCCAAAAACGACAAGGCACATGTCTTATGTGCCTCATTGTGGTTACGGCACTGGTATTATACATTTTTTTATGTTATCAAACATTCACTATTATTTTTCTATTTTAAATGGAATGGCGCAAATTCTGCCACTCAGTGTATAAGGACCATTCTAACGATAATTAGTGGTCATTTTGATAATATTCAGAGCACACTCTGATGATACATAGGAGCCCCTCTCCATCTGTCATTTAATGGACTTTTTACCGTCATTAGAAGTGCCTGTCCTAACTATTATTAATACGTTGTCGTTCATTTTGACATCGAAATCAGAGGTGTAGGAGGTAAATTAAATGTGGGGAGGGGGGCCTAAGGTTTATTTGACCGAGTGGAGTGAGGAAATTTGTGCCATAGGCGCACCCACTACGGCTTAAGTCCAGGGCTCGCCTTAGGACTCTGGAACCTCTTGGGTTCTAGATTTTAAAATGATAGCAAAACCAAGCATTTTATTCACCCATTCTTTTTGCTTTTATAGGATTTGAACTATTTTTTTCAAACATTTCAGATATGTTGCCTCCTGGAATGATTGGATTTAGGAACAAGTGAGGTATTACCCAATGCTGATTGTGGGTAGCTCAATACTCGACACCCCATAACACTTAGCTGAAAAAATGGTTACAGTGATATGGTTGTCACTGATATGCACCACAATTTTGACTCTGTGGAGAACTGAACAATCCATAGGACTGAATTCAAGGCTATAAAGCACGGAGTCTATAAGAACATGTGTGGTTAAACAAGGGTGGTTGCATGCGAAGGCATGTAATCCACGATCATGAAGAAGTTCTCATTAACAACTCTGGAAATGGCCTGTTTCTGTAAAAATGAAGTTTGAAGTGGTCACGTCAAGATTAGCAGAGAAGAAAGCCATTTGAACTCGCTGATTTTACCATGGTGGCACCACAGGAGTCAGCAACAACCAACAATCCTCAAACGAATAATTGATGGACGGCTCCTCTGCCTTAGTCCCATTCAGTTGTGATTCAGTATTACTGAAGTACTTTCTAGACCCAGTTGCTATGACTGTATCACTACTGTGGCAGAATAAACTCATTAGGAAACAGAATACCGTGTATTATTTATAACTTTGAAGGTCTTTAGACTCAAGTTACTAGTTGAAAAGAGTTCTAACAATTTGAACTCAACACAGATCAGAAATCACTGCTTTGAAACATGGTCTATTGTGTTTTTGTGGGACGAGATAATTATCTAGATAGAACAACAGTAACATGTCATCACAAAGAAACATATTGTGCATTTTGATAGAGCAACTGCCACTCGGACCTTGAAGAATCTGGGACATAGCCACTGTTGAAATAAAAAGCATTTTATGTATGGGATAACATAAGCCTTTAGTGAGTGTCTCTTCATTTACAGTAGTTATTGCTGAAAAAAAGGAAATGCCAAGATTTATATGATTGTCAGGTGGATGAATTTGGTAATACATACCAATAGTTTTCCTTCCAAAAAAATGGGTAAATGTTGGAATGTGCTCGTAGGTTGGCTTGCTTTATTAGCTCTGGTTTTCTGTAAGTTGAACTGGAGGATGACAGTAAACCCAAGACTGATTTTAGTACTTAGGAAAGGGTGTTTGGATTCTACATTATCTTATTTGTTCTGTGTAATGCACCTACCACTTTTAAGAAAATGCTTGAGCAGGAAGTTACATTGAAAGGGTTGTAATTGAAAAGATATCTCATCTGTGTAGATGAAATTTTAATTTCATATTTCAGGCTTTTGCCGATATCCTAAAAATGGCCATTGGGACTGATACTACAATAGTGTGTACTAATACATACAGAAGTGGAAGTTATCTGTAACATAGTAGGGATGGAGTTTACACTGATCCTGAGAGGATAACAGATGACTGAAGCCAGGTGCCTGCCTATCTTAGACTAAATGTGAAGTTCACAGCTATTTGAATGGGAATGATATTGTCATATACAGAATAATATGAAGTGTGTAATTGCATATATATCAATTCCTGAATACCAACACTGTACAAAAAAGAATGGATTACTAATATTTATAGTATTTGTCAAACATTACTGCTACTACTTGTACGATAGAAAGTTCGCTATGTGAGAGGACAATACATTACAGAAATGGATGGATAATGAACTTCTAAAGTCCAGAAAATAGTATTGCAAGAGAAAAGCTGTTGTATTGACAATTTATCTGTGTCATAGCATGGATGGATAATGAACTTCTAAAGTCCAGAAAATAGTATTGCAAGAGAAAAGCTGTTGTATTGACAATTTATCTGTGTCATAGCATGTAAATGATAATGGATTATCTTGCCAAGAATGGGTGTATATCCATTTTTTTAATTTCTTGATCCTGGTTGCTATGCAGCAATTAAAGTCATTCCAGTAGAAATGACAATAAAGCACGTAAGTGGAAATGATTCTAAGAAAATAAGGACTCTTCAAGTGACTAATCAGAAGATTTGGGAAGAGCAACTGAAGTACCCAAATACAGCTTGTGTGTTATTTGTCAGGCATCAAGGTGAAGCGTGATTATTACAAACTGGTAAGTTCAGTAATATTTGCCACTTATGGGATCATTTTGTAGTGCAAGATAGTGCATTGTGCCATAATTACGAGCCACAGAAAAAATGGTACCCAACCTGAAATGCATCTAGTGTTCTCCAGGGCTGTAAGACAGGAAGTAGTTTAGACTTTGCATAATGTAAAGATTGATTGGTACCAGAAGATTTCACATATCATTGCTGGAGTATTTCGTTTTGGCCACATTCAGGTAAATATGTTGAGAAATTATGCAGACATATGTTTCCCAAAGTAAAATCAATCCAGCCACATTAGGAAATAATCTGCATAGAACTGTATGTTCTCCTCTCCGAGAATAGCCTTGAACATAGCTGGTCTTCTGCCCGAATTGATAAAGGTTCTAGATATGTATTGGTCGTTATTAATTCTTTCACCAAGTGGACCAAAGTTTATCTGTTCGTCACTAGTTTAGTACAGTGTCGTCGAAACTACAGCCCAACCTGACAATCATTAAAGTTAATTAAATATACTTTTATTGCGTTCTTATTTTAAAAATTGGAATTCATTGTTTCATCAGTTGGGTACCCTTGCTCTTAATTATATTTTCGGCCGTAATCCCAATAATAACTCATGAGGTTCAGCCAACTTAGGATATTTAGGTTAGTCTTAAATACATATATCAAGCTTACAATGCAAAACAATCTTTCTAATAATGCTTTGTACTAACTACAGCAGTCACGTAACACTAAAGAACATTGAACACGTCTAGAAGCAAATCTCTGTGTCAGTGATGAGCTCTCGAGAATTAGTTGGACAAGGTCAAAAGTGAAAGACCATAATAAATGAAGGTCATGGGTGCACTGTGTTCTAAAATGTTGATATTTTATGAGGAAGAAAATGCTTGTAGCACTTAATAGAAAGTCCCTAAGTATTCAAATTGGGAAGCACTACTAGCGTGACTGCTCTGATGGCTGGCTAAGATGTCTCCTAATTGTTGTGGTTGGGATTTACTACTTCATTCAAGCGCAAAGTTTTGTACAGATTAGTGTAGACTAGGATTAATTTCCCCCAAAATGTAAT